AACTGAACCCTTTATTTCGCTCACTGGGGTAGACTGTTCTAGTTAAACGTGCCATGTTTAATGGATGTCAGTTATCAGGTATCTCCTGTTAATTCTCCTCTCTACATGGCACAGTGTATAAAGGCGTTGGTTAGATTCAGTGACAGGACCCAAAAGAGTGTGAGTTCAATACCCGGTTAAGGCAGTGAAGAACTTGGAGATGGGAATTAACAGGAGATATGTGGTAGCAATATTCTAAGTATGGACGAATGGTAGACTTATAGATATGTAAGATAGATTCGTGAGTGCAACAGTATTCAATGCATGGACGGATGGTTGATTTGTAAATGTACAAGATGGATTCTGACGAGAAACATTTTCTGATTACTTCTTATTAGAGACAGTTATATTTATTTCTTTAATTATCAAAATTTCTTTAAAATCATTTTAATAAAGTTATTCCTTTAAAATAATACTGATCCATTAAACTCATTTAAAACAGAAAAATGAATTTAACAGTTTTATTAAATGTTTTTAGCATCCCAGTCGCAGACCGGTCAGCCTTAATTCTTAAAACTTGAAAATTTAGAATTTTGGTGCAGGACAACTCAACACCACCGACAGAGTACCGAGACAACTCAGCACCAGAAAAACATAACTTTTTATAACCGAATAAAAGTAATTTATTAAGGATTAAAAGCTTAATTAGTGAATATTTTTCTTCAAATAAGAGAGAAGTGAAGGAGAGACAGTGGAAGAGAGAGAGAGAGGAAAAGAGGTGGAGTGATAGAGAGAGATTGGGGAGAGATAGAGGGATAGATAATCTTTCAGAAGCTTATAGAGGGAAAATAGAGAGAAGTAAAGATTAAGTGGGGGATAGAGGAGAGAGGTGAATGATAGAGAGAGGTTAGGGAGAGATAGAGGGAGAGAGGAATAAATAATCAGTCAGAAACTTTTAGAGGGGAACATAGAGAAGAGTGAAGGTGAGGAAGTCGGAGAGAGAGGAAGAGAGGTGGAGTGATAGAGAGAGTTAGGGGAGAGAGGGATAGATAACATTTCAGCAGCTTGTAGACGGAAACATAGAGAGAAGTGAAAGAGAGACATTGGGAGAGAGAGGAAGAGAGGTGGAGTGATAGAGCGAGGTTGGGGACAGATAGAGGGAGAGAGGAATAGATAAGTAGTCAGATAATTTGGAGGATGTTATTTATCGTAAATACTCCCGTATAATGCAAGTTCTTGCATATCAGGGTTTTTTTTGGTGGGGTGGGGTACACAAAAAATATTGAGTCAATACGACTCGATATTTTTTGTGCAAAACAATTACCCTGATATACACAGGTCATTTTCTGAGAGGTTACCAGTAAACAGTTTTACTATACGCAGGTGAATTTTTTTTCTGATGGCTTAAAATTCATGCCAAACTATTTAAGGTTCCACTATACACTCATTCGACTTATACATGAGTATATAGTGTATTTATTCAAAGACTGATTCCAATTATTAGACAATAAGAGGGCGAGAAAGAACAACAAAAATCTACTTACCACCTAGAATCCAATTTTTTGGTGCATCGGGAGTAAAAATCAAATTACACTTATTAGTCTCAGGAACGAAGTGATATAACGCACAGTAATAAATTGACTTGCAGGTACTTTCACACAAACCACCGCTATAATTTGGCAAGGTCAGATCTGAAATGCATTATGGGATTTGTAAGGGATTCGTAGCCATTTAGGAGTGCAGATCCGTAGCTATAACAAAAATGTCTCCGGCATTTTCCCAAGATCTCATCACAGGAAAATTCAATTCAAATATTTTCGAATTGAGAACTTTTAATTGAGTGAATGTTAAACTGATATCAGAAATGTTTAGATTAATTTTAAAAGGAATTTCAAGACGTTACGAATAACTTACAACTTTACAAGAATAATTTAAAATCGCCATCTTTAATTTGAGCTGCACTAAAAAAAATGGCTTGTAACCGAATATACAGGATGTCACAAAAAGACTGACATCATTTTAAAAGCAATTATCATGAAAACTACTGAGTCTAGCTCAAATAAAATTGAACAGTTTAGGTGTTGAACATCATAAGTTTATTATGGGACCGATTTTATAAGTGTTCAATATGTGTACTGCTTGTGACACGGCACACGTCAAGTCAGTAGTTAAGCTCTTGCCAAACACGCTGTAGCATGTCTGCGGTAACATTATCCAGCACGGAAGTGATTTTCTGCCGGAGTACATCAATGCTAACAGGAAGAGTGGTCTGTATACCAGTCCCTTCACATATCCCTATAAAAAGAAATCTCACGGGGACAGGTCCGGTGACCGCGGCGGCCATTTCATCAGAAAATTGTCTTCCTCTCCACAACGCCCGATCCATCTCACCGACAGATTCTCATTGAGATAAACACGTACTGTCCTCTTCCATAAAATATAAAATCTTGATCTGAAAATTTGAGGTTATTTCAACATGAATTGCCAAAATTATTGGCCTGCGAAATAATGTCAAATTTTTGGGGACACCCAATACCAAACGGAGAGCAAAGGCATTTAAAACAAACAGTATATACATCAAAACGTTACCAAATCAACATGCGAAAAAGCAACAAACGTAATATGCCTACCAAACATACACACACTTAGAAATATGCATTATCATCTGAATTCCCAGATAGTCAAACTAGAATTATTATACGCTTACATACATAAAGCTACATTTACAGTTTTTAGAAAATTCTGGTGTTATTAATTTTTGTGTTTGTTTTTTATTGGTTAAGCAGGCTTCACGTGCACCAGTTTTGTCAAGCAGCGTTCGTATGTATAATTCATGTATGTAATTGTATCCTAATTCTAGTTTCAGAGTCTGTCTATATTTCTGAGATGACGTATTATGTACAGTATTTATATTATTCGGACTATAGTCCGAATAATGTAAATAATGTACATAATTCTAGTTTGTCTATTTGGTATTCAGCGGATAATGTATATTTGTGTGTGTGTGCGTGCCTGGTATGCATTTTATTTGTTTGATTGTTGTCCGCATGTTTTGTGTGAGGTTTGAAAAATTTTATAAAATCCATACTTAAAGAAATCTTGATTATACTACAAACATTATTACATAGATTTTTCAACCTCAACCAAGATGTCCCCAAATCAACTTGCAGACAACCACCAAACATAAGTAAAATGTTTACTAGACACACACACATATTATCCTCCGAATCCCACATAGACAAAATAGAATTATATATACAAACACTGTTTGACAAGAGAATTCATGTGAAGCCTGTGAAGCCTGCTTAACGAATGAAAATCAAACAAAACAAAAACAAAAATACCAGAATTTCTTTTTCTCCATATCTCATTCTCCGATGAAGCTTTAATAAAAGTGAAACATGTTAGATTTAGAAACGTTTCCTATTTGTTCTTTATCCTATTCTGTCAGTTTCCGATCTATATTTAACCCTAAATCATATTCATATATACATACATGCAGGTGGACGAATATTTTTTATGAAAATTTCTCCGACATTCAAGCCGGTAAATGTTATAAATACTGTTTATTATAAAAACAGATCATTTACTTAAATATTTGTATCTATAAAAAATAATATATATATATATATATATATATATATATATATATATATATATATATGTATGTATGTATGTATGTATGTGTGTGTGTGTGTGTATGGTTTAAATATATGTATGCGTATGTAGGTATGTCTGTAAGTGAGTATGTATGTGTGTTGTACGACATGATTTATTCCATTGTGTGTTTTGGTATTATTTACAGATTTTGGAAATGTATAATTTAGATAATTTTTAAATAGTCTTTAAATCCACTTAATAATATAATCCTCCTCCACCACTTAATAATATAATCCATTAGCAACACAACTAAAGGTTTTGGGCCATAAATAAGCTCCCCCTCCGGCCAATCTCCTTGTCATCAACCCAGAATCCCAAAACGAGGCGTCCCCTTAAGTAGCCCCGTACATTTTCACAGACTGCTATTTAAACTAAAACCCCCATTTCGAGACAGTCTGTCTAGGGCTGAGGAAGACTGGTATATGTCAGTATTGGTCTGAAATAGACTATACATACATGAGATAATTTTGGATTTTTTGCTCTATATGTACCGAGGGCCGTTGGTATATATATTTTAAATTGTGACACAGAAATTTCTATGTTTCGGGACTTAATTTTTTTTATCCCATCATCAGGAAATATTCAGTAACTTTTGTCCCGAAACTTAGAAATTTCTGTGTCACAATATAAAATATATATACCAACTCATATATATATATATATATATATATATATATATATATATATATATATATATATATGTGTGTGTGTGTGTGTGTAAAATATTTTAAATAAAAATATCATTAAAAAACATTATGGTCTACGTTGTATTGGACACTTTTTTAAAAAAAAGTAAATGATAAAGAATGCTAAATCTGTTTGTTCTTTTCTCTTCATTTGTATATATATATATATATATATATATATATATATATATATATATATATATATATATAACATTAATATAGTTCGTTATCTCTGGGGAAATTTCAATAGCATGGTATGTCTGTAAAAACGTTCCCAAATCAATAACAAAGATAATGTCTACTAGACACACACACACACACACACACACGCACGCACGCACGCACGCACGCACTTACGAATATACATTATCATTTGGATCCCACATAGACAAACTCGGATTATGATACACTTATATACATAAAGCAATATTTACAGTTTTTGCAGTCAAGTTTGAACTCCATTAATGTCTTGAAACTTCGAAGGGACGTGTCGTCTTTCCTTGAATTCGAAACTCTATTATACCAACGTTTGTTTAACAAGCCAAATGCATGTGAAACAGGATTTACAAATCAAAATAACACAAAAGTAAAAATACCAGAATATCAGAATTTTATTTGTTGATTATTATTATGTTATAATATTTGACAGGAAATTGGGCTTTAAGGTTGCATCACGTTGAAACACTGGTCCCTCGTACGATCACCGAAGTTAAGCAACGTCGAGCCTGGTCAGTACCTAGATGGGTGACCACTTGGGAATACCAGGTGCTGTAAGCTTGGATGTGCGGGTGGTGTAATGGATAATGACTCGGAATTGTTAATCAGAGAGTTAAGTTCCAATTCTAAGAAATTCGGGTAAATCATTATGATCTAAAAAATTCTTACAATCTAAAAATATCTTCTGGCTTTAAATAACCTGCAAAGGCTTGATAAGCCATAGAAAACGAATCAATCAATAAAATACTGATTAGCTACGCAGGCATGTCTTTTAGATTGATTTAAATTCTATGGAATCTAAATGTATAGAAGCTACCGTGGCCACAAAGTGTGGGATCAGTTTATATATTGATTGTTATATAGAACTGATCCCCCGCTTTATATCAACATTATGATTTCTTATTTGTTGATCAAATTCTGATTAGGTATGAATCCGCCACTTCTCCTCCAGCTATGGGTTAATTAGTAATACATTTATCACTAAATCATTATTATCGCAAAAAAATTACAGTCTAAAAATATTTTCTGGCTTTAATAACTCGTAGAAAATGAATTAATCAATCAATAAAATAAGAAATTGACTGAACTATTTTCGATATTCAAAATTACTGATGCACACTCAAAATCAAGAAAAAATGGAATATCAGGGGGTCTGGAATGAGTGCAACTGTTATTGGGATACTAGTGTTATTATGTGTAGAATATAAAGGCATTGCTAATGGTTTTAATATGGAGATGCATTGAAGAATCTAGAAAATGGATTTTCTGTGATCAGGAATGAGTACAAATGTAATTAAATAGCAGTGTTGACTGGAATCTTTAACTTTGGTCAGCAACCAGTTTGAAATTCAGAATCTTCCATTCACAATTCCAGACCGTGGTTAAGGCAAAGGAAAACAACTCTACTATTTTTTCTACAAAGCATGGCAATTTACAGATGTTTTAAATCGTTTTACCCCAAGTAAGGCGATAATGCCACTAAGACGGAAGGGGGCTACCTGGTGTGAAAGTGAATGAGAATGAGAAGATTGAAAATGGGGAGAATTGAGGAAAGGACAAAAAAAAAGGAACAGGCTTCAAGTAGACATAAGATAGCGACTGACGTTGCATTTAAACTTCTGAAGATTGTAGTTATTAGGGAAGCAAGAAATTGGAAAGGATTTCCACAGGTGCGTAGTGCGAGAAAATTACCTGTTAGAGTAGAAGTGGCGGTTACATCTAGCTAGTTCAACGGTAAAACGGTGAGACCTAGATGCCTGCCTAGTAGCACGCTTAAATTCATGTAGTTGGGTCATCAGGGGGAAAAAAACTCACCAGAGCAATTTCCATGAAAATATTTGTAGAAAGGACAGAGGGAAGCCGCGTCACATCGGTGAGAAAGTAACTGATGTTGCCTGATTAGAATTGATTACATTACATATCTTTCTTTGGATTTTGTCTAGAATCTCGAGATGTACACCAAGGCCACCTGACCAGATATGGCAACAGTATTCAAAGGTAGATTTATAAATGTGCCAGATGGATTCTGAAGAGAAGATTTTTATGGCACAACACAGTGAAAAAAAGTGTGTAGAGCCATGATCGTCTTACGTCCTGAACAGGTATTGTATAAAAAAAAGGATGAGCAAGAAATATTAATAAATTTTTTGCCTTACCTGGGACAAAATTGGTTGCAGTTGTTTGGACATAAATATCTATAATAAAAAGAAAGAAATTGAAAACAAATAAAATAAAACAGTGAAAAATTGCATTTAACTGAAAATTGTATTGAACTGAAAAAGAATTTCATTTGAAAAATGAATTCAGTTATAAATGTAGTGTCGTATTTGCTGCTGGGTTGCTATTTAAAAAAATATTCTTAACATGATTCATACTGAGAATTTTCAATCATTTCACCCCGTGCAAGACAATAAAAGCCCCTAGGATGCAAAAGGTTACCGAGAGTAAAAAAAAAAAAAAAAAACAAAAAAAAAAAACAGAGAAGACAATAAAAAATACACAGGATTCAAGGAGATAAACGATGATGATTGACCTTGTATGTAAACTTTTGGAGATTGGAGGAATGCAAGAAGACGGAAGAGAGTTTCAAAAAAGAGAAGCACCAGAGAAGAAACTATTAGCATAGAACTTGCGGTTACATCTAGCAATTTCAACACTGAAATTATAGCTTTGAGGATACGTTTGCAGTTATTATAATTATTTTTCTGTCTCCTTAATTCCTGTTCTTTTATTGGCCTTTCTTCTTAATGTTTTTTATTTTTCTCCTTAATGTTTTTTTCTTCTTAATGTTTTTCCCCCTTAATGTTTTTTTCGTAAGATTCGTTCAAACTCAGTAACCCCATTACGTCCTGGTGGCTTTAAAATGAACAACGACAAAGTGACAGTCAGTAATATACTGAATCAAGTAGTGTCACACGTAAGCAGAGGTTTCTTGAGTCCCTTTAACGATCCTCGGCTTTATTCAGATTATCTGCTTTGAACACTACTCGGTCAAATTTGTAGACTGGAGTTATTACTTACCTTTTTTAATTCAGAAAAAACAAATGTTGATACTAACTTTAAAAATAGAGTATAAACTGTCCTAGCGTGTATATTTTATACGAGTGTATTTTAAATACACAAAAATGGCATAAGACAAGGTTGCATCTTCTCACCAGACTTTTCAACCTTTATAATAAGGCGATCCTGAAAGAATTAGTAGTTCTACCCGGATTCTTTACTAGTGGCCTAAATCTTAACAACACAAGATGACATAGTGTTGAAAGTGATGTAATGGAATAACCTGTCACCCCCATGAGTGACTACACTATAGGTAGTAACTACTTATAAGTATCCGTAAGGACTACGGGAGATTTGCCTGGATCTGTTATTCAGATCTTGTCGACTGCCGAACTTTCTGTCCGAGCGCAGAGAAGAACCTGGACGAGGCCATGGCAAAAGGCAGGGTCTCGTCCGGGGAAGTAGACAGACGTCGAACCCGTTTATGCAGGCTTACGGAGTAATTTTGGTCGAGCCTACGGGCTCGGATTGCCCCACATTAAATTCAGCCTTGTGCCACATCCTTCCTTGTGCGGAGGCAGGTAAATACCGACTTGCTGGGATCTGTTGAGCACGACTCAAACTTACGCGAGAACTACCGACCTTCCAATAGCAGCGCTCACTACTGGATTGACTTGCGACGACCGTGCACATAACTGTACCTTAGTTTTTATTGTACTGATTATCACAATAAACCTTTACTTATTTATCCACGGTGATTGTCAAGTATATATTCCTATTGGCACGGAATATAACAGATAGCAAACGTAGAACGGAAACTATAGGTAGTCCTACAGAATGTAGTAAAGGAAAGCAAGAAGAAAGGACTAATCATCATTTGTAAGAAGGCTGAGTGCATGCTTGTCAACAAAAGAAACACCCTCAAGATACGAACTACAAAGTAGAGACACTAAAATCAAGAAAGTACAGCTATTTAAATATAAAGGAAGTGTAAAATGTGACGGAAATGCGGCACTGAAATCCAAAGACACATTGGAATAGTGAAAGTTTCTTTCGAAAAGCTAAACAAAGTATTAAGAAAGAGGAAAATTTCATCAGAAACAAAGAAAAGACTGCTTTGTAATATCGGTCATCTTTCAACTTCCTCACAGATGAAAAAGAGGCTCTACATAAGGGAGCTGAGAGTCACATGGATTCAATATGCGAGTAACAACGCATTTTTGGAGAAAATGGAACCAAAACGAGTAATTTATATTTGAAATCTGAAAGCGACAGTTGAAAGTTTTAGGTCAAATAATGAGGAAAGAAGGCTTAGAGAATTTGACGCTCACATAACATACTGAGGGCAAGAGAACCATAGGAAATCAGCGAGTAGCTTACCTAACCAACTGATGTACATGGATGGCAGAACAGGGATTAAGAGAGATTACAAAGAGACAAACTTTAGTCAGAGCTACAAAGGACAGAAAATTGTGGAGAGCAATGATCGGCTACATCCTAAAAAAACAAGAAGGCTAACCCCAGTTATACCCCGGGTGTTATTCTGGACAAGACTAAATTATATTGGGAGTTTGTTCATCTGCGCTGCTGCACCTTACCTGTCATTGTTATAAGCAGTTTTAAGAACTTTTGTAGTGTAACGTTATCAGTCGTCAGTTGATATCTTGTTGGAACACATCTGCAGGCTGTTACAGAAATTGTTTTGGCAATTATCGTCTTGATAAAGAAGGTCAGCTGCCACGAAACAGGTCAACAGCTCCTGACAAAGAAGGTCATTTTTTAGAAGAAAGCTGACTGGACAAAGAAGCCTTGTTCTCTATGAGACAGTGGTTCCTAACAGCTTAAAACAGAAGACTGCCTGATCGCACGCCCGCCATGTGAAAAGAAGGCACACCCCGCTTAGACCGTTCGCCCGCTAACCTCGCCTCACTTTTCCTCGCTCGCCTATAGCCAGCCCTTACGTGAAGGTTACAACTGAATTAAATTTGCCGACTGCTACAAATTCGAGTCATTTTTTTTTGGGGGGGGGGTAATCCGACCAAAATATTATTTTCCCTGTATAAAGATTTAGTCTAGAAGAAACTCGCTTAGAACAAACTTAGCGTCTAGTCTGATCTGCAACGCTACTAAAGTCTGATGTTTTAAGTATGGCGAGTAACGGGCTTTATTATTCTACATTATCTCATGAAGTGTTGGCCGGCGTACATATGAAAATTTAAAGCAGTGATTCTTAACCGTCGTGTACCGCGAGATCTCCTCACTTATGCCGCGAAATGTGGTCACGGCATATATATATATATATATATATATATATGTATGTATGTATTGTATAATATAAAAGGCTCAAACACTAATATTCCGTGGTTATAATTTATTACATTGGAATCGTAATCACGATCCAATTTATCAGATCTACAAATTCAAAAAGCTTTTTCAATTTGTAGTTATGATGAATTGGATCGTGATTATACCAACGGCTTCCCATATTTAATGCTTCGCGTTTTCACATTCGCGTGGTCATGTGTGACGTCACGAGCTGCGACGCGATTTTCGCTTCCG